CTGTCTTTAAGTGACTCTCCCCCAGCAGATAAAGCTTGTAGGTGCTGGGCAGAGATGCTTTGCCTGAGCTGCAGCACCACAATAAGGCCCCTCTGCAGATTCCCTTTGCAGCCTCGCCCTGCCCTCACATCTCTCCTCCCACCAGCTCCTGCAGTTTCCCTCTGTTTCCCTTTTGGCACGCTGAACATGCACATCCACATCATGTCTGAGGCTTGGCCTAATGCTCCCTCATTTCTTCTGGTTCAGCCTGAAGGCTTTTGCTCTTCAGCTGGAGCAGCTCAGAGTCCCAGGATGCATGCAGCCAGTCCTCAACCCTCAGCCCACTGCCAGCACTGCTGCTCCCGCCTTGCCGCTAGGCCTTCAGTGCAGCATCCTTGCTCCTGCTTGGAGGCACCTGAGGCAGAACCCCGGGCCACCTGCTGTCACCCAGGGACTGCCATGCTGTCCCCTGCCATTCAGTGTAAGTCCCTGCTTCAGGCTCACTGTGGTTCCTGCCCTGGGCAGTGAAGCATTTCAGCCATTATTAATTAAAATGCAATCTATCCTTTCTCTTCTTCTCCCCAAGCAACGAAGAACTGCTAAAATATTCTCAGGGATAATAGGGAGGGGAATTAAATAGTTACTGTGAAATTCAAGCTGTGCCTTTTGGAGATTGATTGCTGCTCCTGGAGCCTCCGATTCCCCTTTGAGTACTGTGTACCCACAGTCAAGCTCTGTGCAGACACCATGCCAGCATCAGTGAGATGCACAGCCTGCCTGCAGACATCATACCCCAGGTTCTTGGAGAGGCGTCTCTTTCTTTCTTTCCACAGGGGTGAGTGGTGGTGGCTGCTTTTGTCCCATGGGGACGAGAAGCACCCAGTTTCAGGGAATGGGGGGCTCTGCTGCTGCGATGCCTGCAGGCAAGCAGTGCAGTGGCACCTGGCTGCAACGGCAGTTCAAGGAGCTCTGGTTGCCATGACAAGCTGAACAAGTACTGGCTAGGAAAAAGGACCCCAGCAGCGCTTAGTGGGGATGGGAGCGAGGCAGTGGGCACGGCGGGTGCACACACCTACATGAGCTGTGCATGGCCAGGGGGACCAGTGTGGGTCCAAACTGGGGATGGGGCTCCCAGGGCTACGTGCTTGACCTGTGAGCAGGACTGCCTTTCCTGGATGATGTTTGCATCAGTGGTGCTCTGGGTGTGCCCGTGTCACGGTGACCCTGGTGGTGACGATGCGGGGCTGCCAGCACGGGTGTGAGCTGAGCGCTTTCTTTTGCTGTGCTGTCCCACATCGAGGTCCCCATGTTTCCCAGCAGCATCAAAAAATGGAGCAACAGCTTCTTTCTCTCCTTCTTGGCAATCTGGACATCAATCTCCGGGCAGGGGTTCTTCCAGCAGCCCCTCACCCAGTACAGCCCACATCCCTTGTTGCTCGGGGTCTGCCTGTAGGTTGGGCTGACCCCGCAATGGGTCCCTGGACTCCCCTGGTCCTGGCAGGGAAGTAAACATCCTGCAGGCTGGGGCTGGGTCAGCGTGGGGGACAATCGCCAGCTTCCTCAGTGCTCACGTTTAGAGAATAATTTCCATGAACACAGCCAGGAACTAACTCAGCTGCACAGGCAGGGCCCAGAATATTCGCTGCTCTGTCTGTTTTCTCCTGTTTCTTTCTGTTCTCTTTCCTTTTCTCCTTATCCCCACCCCCAAGCCCTCCATAGCAGTGCCTGACCTCCCTCCTCTCTTTTCAGGCTGGCAGCAATGTTTCCTCCAGGGCAGCTCCCTGCTGTACCCTTGCCACTAGCACAAGGCTGGTGCCACCTGTGTCACCCATAGCAGCAGTGACAGCATAGCAATGACACCATGATGGTGACAGCTTGCCGCCCTTTCCCAGCTGCAGTGTGACGTTACCCTGGGGACCCCCAGGGCTGGGATCTGGGGAGCAGAGCAGTAATGCAGGACCCATCCCCACTAATTGCACCCACATCCCATATCCTGCTGCCACCACCCCTGGCACCCACATGTTGTTTATGTCCTGTGTCTCACCGAGGGAGGTGGAGAAACAGTGTAGGGCAGGTGGATCAGTAATTGGCTGTGATCAGATTAGGGCTGGATTAGGGTGGTGGCACACTAAGGACTCGCTGTAAGCTGTAGATGGCCGCTGGGATCCCAGCCCAACCTACTCTGCATTTCCTAATGATGCTGTGCTCAGAGTCCCCCAGCTATTTCAAGGCAATTTGGTGACCTTCCAGCTGGGTCCTGGTGCACTGTAGCTGGGATGCGCACATCTGCACTGTGCCTCACCAGGCTGTGCACAGCCCCAGTGCCCTTCCCCAACAGCAGAGCTGGGCACAAGCACACCCACTGCACCACCCAGCTCCCAGCTCATCCATCCCTTCCTCCCACAGCATTTTTACAACCATGGCCGAGCTCCTCCCACCCTTGGCCACCGCAGGACGGGCCCTCAGCCCCACTGTGATGAGAAACTCACATCCACACCTTCCACCCTTCCTCTCCACAGGGGCAGCAGGGCTCCTGCAGCGATGGGAAATCCTGCTCCTCGCCTACCACTGCTCTTCTGCTCTGTCTGCAGAGTGAGGGGATTTGGGCTCCTGTCCCCAGGGTGCAGCCTCTCCCTCCCCATCTCCCCGCAGGGTCTCCTTCATGCTCCCCAGCCCACCTAGCACAGCACATCCCTGACCTCTCTCTTAGCACGGACGCTTCCAGCAGAATTCCTTCCTGGCCACTCACTGCCACTCCTCAGCCTTGACGCCTCTGGCCTGGCACGCTGCCTTCCTCTTCCCGAGCCGCCCAGCCCCATCCCAGCCTTCACCCCACCCACCCCAGGGCTGCAGCACTGCAGGGTCAGGGTGCCCAGCTGCATCACCCTTCCCAGTGCCACCGCATTCCCACGTTGCAGACCAGCCCCAGCAGCACCCACCTGCCTCAGTTTTCTAGTTATTAATTAAAAGGTGAATGCTTTGCTTTTTTTACAGTCCGAGCATTGTGCAAGTATTAATTAACGGCAATTAATTACATCAGGCCTCCACATCCCCCTGCAGAGATGCTATCTCATAAACATAGTGATAGCAAACACGGTGTTGGGTTGGGTGGGAGCCTCCCATTACCTGTTGCTAATGGTACAAAACCCACCTGCAGCAGTTGCCTAATTGGCCTTACAATTAGAAGTGCTAACAGGCAGGTAGAGGGAGATAGGGGTAGGAGCTGGCCTTTATCCATCTATGCACTGGTGTGCTGCCATGCAGGAAGGGGTGGCACAAAGCTGCTCTGGTGCTGTCCGGGGGCACTGCCTCTCCCCAGCGCAGGCTCTCAGCCCCTTGTTTGCATACAGCCGAACCAGCACAGGGCACTGGGCTCTGACCGGAGCTGCCACCTTAATCCGGATCAGCAGAAATCTGCCACGTGCCCACGCGTGCTGCGCTGCCGTTGCGGTCTGCCAGTCTGATGCCAGCAGGGACGTGCGACAGCCCCGGTCCCGGGCAGCACGACGGCACTAATCGCCGGGCGGAGCCAGCTCAACGTCCTGCTATACAGCAGCAAACCGGGGTGAGATTATGGCGTTCCTCAGGCAGTGCCCACCCCCTCGTCCCGGCTGCTGGATCCCAGCCTGCAGGCCGCTAATGCTGCTTACATTATTAGGGGATTATTTGGGTGTAATGAGCTTTGCCCCGCTCAGCTGTCCCCTCCACGGAGCTGCAGGGATGTGTGACACTTCCTGCGTGGGGCCGTTCCCAACCAGGCACGGCCCCGCTGAAACAATGCTGTAATGTTCCTGGTGAAAAATTCCATCGTGAGGCCAAGGTTAATCCCAAATCGGGAGCGCTGGGCTCAGCTCTGAGTAAAGGCAGTGCCAGGGTGGCGGTGGGGCTCGGAGCCGGGTCCTGGCACATCACCGTGGGTGCCAGTAGGTGCCACGGTGAGGCAGTGGGTGCCCTTCTGTCCTCCAACCCTTTTCCTTTCCTCCCACCAAGCACAGGGGTTTGGAGATATGTTGCTATGGCCACAGTGAAGTTTCCCCTGGAGACTAAGAAGCTCCAAACAAGTGATGCCTGCGCTCTCTGACACCGATTTCCCCCCTTTTAAAAATTATTATTAATATTTAGTGAAGTGTTGATTTAATTTGCAGCCTCTTACCACCCCGCTCCCCCCACTCCTTTTCCGGCGGTGGATTGCTGTGGCAGTGTCCCAGGGCTCAGCTCCCGCCTTGTTCTGCGCAGTGAGAGCACAGCATTCGTGCTGGGGAACGTTCCAGCACTGTAACTCCTGCTGTGCTGGACACCCCTCCAGGATGGGAACCCCCTTGTGGGGTCAGCGCAGGGCACTGCGCCGCACTGCAGCGCTGTGCACTCATTGAGCGTGTCCATGGGCACTTGGCCTTTAGGATGGGCTTTTACCGTGAGACCATCGCTAATGTTACTTTGACTTTTCTTTCTGTGCTTTACAAGCCCATAATGGGCTGTTTCTGTTCCCTGTCACCTGATCTGCCCCTCGCTGAATGAAGAGCTCTGCGATGAGTGCTCTCCTCTGTCCCACACCTGTCCCCTCGCCCCTTGAGGTGTGCACACCTCCGATCGGCTGCTTCTCCTGTTCCTGGGAACAGAGCACAGTGCCTGGTCAGGAAGCCACCCCAGCCCTTTGAAATCCCTACCCCTTAATAGCTGGGCTGCCCAAATTGCAAGTTGCTCTCTGAGCTCTCAGCAAATGAGCACTCTGCTTCTCGGCTGTGCCCACAGCTCACAGCGATGGACAGCCCAGAGCTGCCACTTGCAGGTGGAGCGGGGAAAGCAGGAGCTCCTCCTTGCAGCATTTGCTGAGTTCATGTCCGGGGGCTGTGCTGAGACAGCAGAAAGCCCCTCTGCTCGATGCAGCTCCTGCCCTGGATGACTGTCAGCAGCATCGTTGTCCATAGCAGGGGTGTCAGTGCCGCGACGCCTGGCCAGGCTGTGTCCCAAATGCTAACAGACCCTTTTCCTCCCACTTTTCCTTCCCTCCTTCCTGCCAGCAGTTCCCTACCAACAAAACCCCTACACCGCCGGGAGCGGCTCCACCGTCATCCAGTGCTACCGCTGTGGGGACACCTGCAAGGGCGAGGTGGTGCGTGTCCAGAGCAACCACTTCCACATCCGCTGCTTCACCTGCCAAGGTAGGACGGGACAGGTTGGTGCAATGCTCACAGTGTCCCTGAGTGTTGTCAGCATCACCAGGCTGTGTGCAGGAGTGGCCGACACCTTGGAGCTGCTGCTCCCTGTGAGCTAAGTGAATGCCACCAAACACATCTGGGCTGCTGTATCCTTCAGGTGAACAAGAGGATGAGGGGGTGCCACCAGCCTGGCTGAGCTGAGTTGTAGCAGGGGAGATGGCCAGAGCAGGCAGATGGCACAGCTGTGCTCGAGGTGCCACGGATACTCTGTGCTCAGCTAGGATTCAACTCCCCCAGGAGGCTGTGGAAATAGAGGGGAGAGGTTGCTTGTCCCCTGAGGACGGGTGCAAGAACAGAGCTGGGGAGCTATAAAAGCCAACAACCCAGAACTGATGCTGCAGGGCTCCTCAGCGCATTTGTTAAAGCAGCCGCTCTCCAGCAGGCCCGCGGCTGGTTCTGTGCATTGTAAAGCATCTCATTACTGGGGCTTTTAAAGGTCTCACAGCACCCTGTGCTAAGCAGGGCACATATCCTGTCCCCTTGGCCATCATCTTGCCATTCCCCCCAAGCACCCGGGGCTCAGCAGGAGGGCACAGTCCCCTGGGGCTGTCACCACTCTGTTTAGCCCTGGCTTGCCTTGGGGGCCAATGTGCAGGGCCCATGCTGAGCTCCTCCCCACCCCTCTCCAGCTCTGGTGTCTGTGAGCAGAGGGAAGCTGCTTGCTCAGACAGCCGCTGGCTTCAAAGGGCACAGAGCTGCTGGAGAGCTTGGCACAGTTCACTGCCTGCTCTGCGAGTGAAAGGGAATAAATAATGAGAGGAAATCCTCCTGTCTCACCTTCCCTCTCAGCCCTTACCCCTGCCACTGGCTGCTGCTTGCTCCCATGCCAGCCCTGAGGCTTGTCCCCATGTGTCCCCTGGAGTGTGGCACAGCTGTGAGGATGTTCTCTGAGTCCCACAGCAAACAGGGTCTGATCCTTCCTCAGGTGTTCATGCTTCTGCTTCCCGATGCCACACAAGAGCTGGGGGCTGCCTGCCTGTCCTTTACCTCATCATTTGGTGGGATGGGTGTTATGCACCATGTCCAATGGTCCCTGTGCAGTCCCTGCTGTGCCTCCCAGAGTATGAAGCTCCTGGGGTCTGTGTAGACGGAAAAGACGTAGGAGGGAGATGACACCAAAGAGCAGGGCTTGCCGTGTCTCCTTGCATCACGCTGACGGGCCGTGCACCACTCACAGCTCCCACTGGAGGGGATGCAGCAGGGCTGGGCTGGGTACCGATGGACAAACAGCAGTGAGAGCAGCTCCTCCGGGAGCCGCGTCCCGCACCCGCGCGGCCCAATACTGACACCTGCTGGTGCTGGGCCGGGTCTCAGCGGGGAACCCTCGGCGATACCCGCGGGCAGCCGGCGCGGCGCTGCGGCCGGGGGACGCACTCCGCCCTGCCCCCGGGTCCCGTGGCCGAGCCCCGCGCTGATGGCTGCGTGTCCCCCCCGCAGTGTGCGGCTGCGACCTGGCCCAGTCGGGCTTCTTCTTCAAGAACCAGGAGTACATCTGCACCCACGACTACCAGCAGCTCTACGGCACCCGCTGTGACAGCTGCGGGGACTTCATCACCGGGGAGGTCATCTCGGCGCTGGGCAGGACCTACCACCCCAAGTGCTTCGTCTGCAGCACCTGCAGGTGGGACATCAGGCACACGTGGGGGCACGCTGGTTTGGGGGCTCATCTCATACGCTTCGTCTCACGTGTCCCTGTTCTTCTCCTCGGCTGCAGGAAGCCGTTCCCCATTGGGGACAAGGTGACGTTCAGCGGGAAGGACTGCGTCTGCCAGAACTGCTCCCATTCGCTTATCAGCACCAAACCCATCAAGATCCACGGGCCCAGCCGTAAGTCGGCCACTAGGGTGTGATGTGAGGGACCCCAGGGGCTTCTGTGGGCACTGCTCCTCAGGCTGACAGGGCTGTGTGCACTCTCCCTGATGTCCCTTTGTAACCCTGTCTTCATGCCCTCTAGCAGGGTTTTGGCTGTGCCCATCATCACTGGGGTGGTGCTGGGCACAGGTGCCGGTGCTCGGGGATGGGAGGGGCTTTTGGGGCTGGCATGCAGCACGGCACGAGCATTTGGGGAGGTTTGGCAGGAGGAGCAGAGCAGCCTTCGTCTCCACCCAGGGTTGCAGGTCAATGCTGGTTTTGGAAACTCCCTTGCCCTGTGCTTGACCTGGGTGGGTGCTGCTGTCTTGTCCCTGTGTGAGCTGCTTGTGCTCCTTCCCTTGTGTTGCTGATACCAACTTGAAACTCAGCAGGACCTGGGGGAAGGCTGTACTGGGTGGGTTTGGCCGGCCCTCACTATGACCTCCCGTGAGTTTGGGGATGTGGCTTCACTGGTGAGCCCCAGGCACAGCACAGGGCTTCCCCACCTTCCTCCATCCCCACGCTGAGCCCCACGGATGAGCTGGCAAGAGCTGCCCGTTGCCTCCTTTAGCAGGGCCATAGGAAGGGGAAAGGCAGCCGTGTGCTCGGCCTCTCATCAGCTTCCTCCTTTCCCACCCCTTCCAGCCAGTGCTCCCTGGCCAGCAGAGTGGGGTTACCCAAGGGCACTGTGCTTTGTTCACAGACAGCAGCCAGTTGTGTGGTGTCTTGGGGTCCTGGCACTGCCACCCAGGGGAATGGCAGGGAAGGAATGCCTCTGCAGGGCTGCCACCTGGGGCTGCTGCTATGCTTTTCAGGAGAACAGCCCTGGGAGCAAGGTTCTGTGCCTCTCCCTGCAACTCCAGATTGGGGAGCAACCTGAAAACCAGGCAAGCAGCACTTCTATGAGGGAAGGACCAGATCCCAGCTCAGCTGAACTGCCCCCCCTGCTTTCTGCCAAGGGCTCACCCAGCTTTGCTCCGTGGGCAATGGCTTGGTGTGGAGCTGCCCAAGGCTGGGCTATGCAGAAGGCCTTGCTCTGCTTGCACAGTGCCTCAGGAGGGAGGAGGGCAGTGAGGAGAGGGTTAAGGAGCAACACTATGGAACCTGCTGCACCAGGGCAGAAGAGGATGAGAAGCCAAGGTCAGGGGTCCAAGGCCCATGTGCTTCCTGCTCACAGCCTTGGCAGGAGCCAAGAGTAGCAGGGAAGGAAGGGAGTCTCGTAAATACTGTGCTGGGGCCGGATGCAGTGATGGAGAGCGCAGCCCTTCCTCTACTCTGCTCTGCTGAGCATTTCCCATCCCTGTGCCCCATGGGAGCCCTGGGCAGCACAGCCCCACAGAGCCCTGGCCAATGCCATGGTGCCAGCCCCAGCAGAAAGACTCTCCTCCCGATTCATTCTGAGGACAGGCAGGGGCAGGTGATATCTTCCGTCTGTGGTGCAGGGATGATCCCCCAGGGGCAGAGTTTTCATCCGTTCCCCCTCCTTTTTGCCCCCCTACTCCAGACTGCGCAGGCTGCAAGGAGGAGATCAAGCAGGGCCAGTCCCTCCTGGCACTGGAGAAGCAGTGGCACGTCAGCTGCTTCAAGTGCCAAACATGCGGGATCATCCTCACCGGAGAGTACATCAGCAAGTGAGTGCTGCTGGTCGAGCTTGGCTGGTCTGTCCTTGCCTGCTGGTGCTGCAGTGAGCATCTGCCTATGGGCAGCTGGCTGTGGGTACCTGGCTATGGGCACCTGGCTATGGGGGGCAAAGCAGCAAGTGATAGCCCATTGAGCAGGTGACTCTCAGGTGTGTGGTGGGATTTTGGCGGTGCAAGGAGTTCTTGGCCTGCTTACCTGCCTCACCCATCTCCTTCCTCTCCTGAAGGGATGGAGTCCCATACTGCGAGTCTGACTACCACGCGCAGTTTGGCATCAAGTGTGAGACGTGCGACCGGTACATCAGTGGCAGGGTCCTGGAGGTGAGTCCTGGGGCCACGGCCGCCTGTCCTGGGCTGTAATAGGGACAGTCCACCCAGAAGTGTGTGTCTTGGGGAGCTGTGGGAGAGTCATCACTGCCATCACATTATTCCTCCCTCTGGGCCGTGGGCAGTGGGTGTGTGCACCTTTGTCTGGAGTGTGGCAGTAGAAGGAAGAGCAGCACCACATTGCAGACCTCGGTGTTTGGTACCAAAGCACCCAGTGCCATGGACGTGCCCCACATGTGGAGACTCCAGCTCTAACCAGCTACTGCCATACCTGTCTCCAGAGCATCCCCAGCCTGCAAGCACATCCCTTGCAGACTGCTGGTTGCCTTGGAAACACATCCAGCACAGCCACCCACCCAGGTGAGGGCTGCGGCACCCAGCTATCCCTGTCTTCCCCCCAGCCAGGGCCCTGTCCTGGGCCAGATTCAGAGGTGGCTTTGCCTATTGGACAAGCCTTGGCCAGCAGGAGCTGCTTGTGCCAAGCTGCTGTGGGATGCAAGGATATCATGGGGATCCAGCAGCAAAGATGAGTGCAAGCAGCCATGGTGCAGGTTTGAGGCGATGGAGCAGCTGCACAGCCTGCAGCAGCCAGCAGGTGGGAATTGCTGCCTGAGGGAGGAGAGATCCTTCAGGGCCAGTCCTGCAGCCCCTGCTCCTGGAGTGGAGGATGCAGCCATGCTTACTGTTCCTACCCAAATGTCTGCAGGGGATAAAAGGCTGGAAAACCCAGCCTGATTGTAATCCAAAGGGTCAGAAGGTGGGAGGCAGAGAGAAAGATGTCAGAATAAAACATGCTGTGGTTTTTAGATCCGCCAGTGTTTCTGTGGAGCTGAGCTGTGGCAGGATGGGGAGGTAGTAATGCTGAAAGCATGTGCAGCTGCTGCTGAGACCTGGAGCTGCTGGGTGGGGGAGTCACTCCCAGGGCAGCACTGTACCCACCTCTCTGCCATTCCAGAGACCCCTGACAGGGAGCAGCATCCCCAAACCCGGAGTACCACAGCTCTAATGCGGGCTGAAGAAGCAGTGGTGCAGGCGACAGCTGAAGGAGGGGTCTGGACCCTGCTGAGAGCTGGGACAGGGCACCTCCAGCCTGGGTCACCCACAAGAAGTAATCAGCCACCCCCTCCCCCCAGTTCCGTTAGCTGAGCTGAGAGCACCAGGCCTGGCCAGGGAACCTCCCGTGAGGCTTCAGCCAGGGCTCTCCAGCATCTTGCTCCCATCCTTCTTCAGGAGCTCCTGAGCCCAGGAATGCTTTCTGCTGACTTCAGTCTCCAGCACTGGCTGCTGTGAGCATGAGCTCAGAACTGCAGCAGCTGCTGTGGCCAACTGCCCAGCATGGGGCGCTCAATTGGAAACCCCAGAGAGGAGCAGGGCGAAGCCAGAGCTTCCTGAGCTCAGATCCTGCTGGCAGCGCTGGGTGGCACCGCTGGCACTGCTCAGTGCCTGCCGGAGAGCTTCCTCCTGGAGCCAGGGGTTCCAATCGTCTTGTCCAGCAGAGCACAAAATGAAAAGGGCGCCTTTAAATAATGTGAGGCCTTAACGAGCCTTCCCGTGCTATCCATCAGCTGCTGGGTTTTCCTAAGGGCTGGAGCTGTGCGGCCAGGCGCGAATGATTAATGAGTCTGTAAGGGACTCTGTGTGATAACAAGCAGATCTCGCCACCCACAGCTTCTGCCACCCTCTTATAAGCTGTAATGTGAATCAGTATAGTAGAGGAAAAGCATGCACACTTCTGGGATATCTGCCTTTGGAGGGATGGGTGGTTGCTCAGGCTCTGCACTTCACAATGGATGAGGCCCTGCTCCCCCTGCCAGGTCTGGTGCACTTTCCTGCCAGCCTACCGCAGCAGCACATATGGACAGACAGGAAAAGATGTGTGTGTTATTTCTTAGCGTCAGCACACTGAGCCACTGAGGGGGTCTGAAAGCACCGACCTCACTTGGCTGCAGCACATCCTGACTCCAAGAGGGACCAGAGGAGCAGCAGAGCATCTGGGAGGATCTGTGTCTCTGACATGAGCTGTCTCCAGCAGCCCACAGTCCCATTCCCGTATGGGAAATATGGAACTGCAGATACAGTGGCCATGGTGGTTAGGAGCTGAGGCTTAGCTGCATTGTTTTCAGTCTCTTTTCTCACAGCTTACAGCTGAATCCTCCGATTGACACACTGATGGTGGATCCCTTTTGGCACAAATCAGAGGGGAGAAGCCACTGACTGCCATCTGTGCCCTGGGAGGATCAGTTTCCTGCTGATTTTATGGGCAACCACCTCTTCTCTGGCACTTCTCGCTAATCTTCACATCAAATTTTTCTATTGATCTTCCCTGCTTCATACTGTTCCCAACTCCCCCTGTCACTGCTGTTCCTGTTATCAGCGAGAGCCTCATCTTCCTCATCTTCTGCTGCCCTCAGTCACCCTGCATACTGGTTATTGCAGGAATGCAATGGCTGGTGGGGCTGTGCCCTGAGCCAGGGCTCCCAGATCCGCAGGTCGGGTCTGTTTCTTGCATGAAAAACGCTCTGCTTTTCTCTACTTTGTGTTGCTCTCCCTGAGGTTTTGCCCCTGAGCATGCCCAGGCCCTGCCCCACTCAGGCTGTTCCCTTGCAGGCGGGTGGGAAGCACTACCACCCCACCTGCGCCCGCTGCGTGCGCTGCCACCAGATGTTCACCGAAGGAGAGGAGATGTACCTCACAGGTAAGAACTGCAGCCCTGATAGGGGCTGTGCCCAGTGCAGGGAACCCCAGGACCCCTTCCCACCTGTCCCACCTCCCCTTTGTCTGGGTTACACTGAGCATCTTAAGGCTCTGTCTGCTCAGCTGCTTTGGTGCTGGCAGGAGCTCATTCCAGCCTCCATAGGAACCATTCCCAGCTGCAGTGCAGCTGGGGACAGCATAGCCAAATCCCACTCGGGGGGGGGGACAGCAGGCTCTGGGCAGGGGCAGGAGGTGGTGGGGCTGGGATATGCAGGGACAGGACGGGGCTGGGGACATGCAGGCACACAGCTGGGTGATATCTAGCAGTGGATGCGAGCTGTGCACAGAGCTCAGGTGCTTTCCCTCTGCACTCCAGGCTCTGAAGTGTGGCATCCCATCTGCAAGCAGGCAGCCCGGGCAGAGAAGAAGCTGAAGGTAGGTGGCAGTCAGAGGCCTCTCCAAAAGCTGCAGGTCCCAAGTGCTGACCCGAGTCCCTGGGCACTGCGGGAGCACTGCCCCAGTCCAGGGTGGTTCCTTACCCTGCAGGAGCTTCATTCCTGAGCAGCACTCAGCACTATGCAATGTCTGCTGCTCCTGGCTGTGACCTGCCTGGTTCTCACTGGTCCTTTCTTTTTGGCTCCACAGCACAGAAGGACATCAGAAACCTCAATCTCGCCACCCGGCTCCAGCATCGGCTCCCCCAACAGAGTCATCTGCGTAAGTAGATCTCTGACCTCAGCCCCACAGGGCAGAATTGAGGCTGTGGCCATGGGTTTGGGGTGATCTGGAAGGGAGAGTGACAGTTCCCACCCCTGTGTTTGGGAACAGCATGGACAAGTCATGTCCCCTCTCCCCATTGGCACGTAGGGAGCACCCAGAGGGACACTGTCCCACTGCCCTCCATCCCCGCCCCTCTGCCCTGTCCCTCTGCTGCCTCCGCTCACCTCTTCTTCCTGCTGCCGTGGTGCTCGGGCTCCACGTGCTGGTTCTGTGTACTGTGTGCTCCATCTTCCCCTTTCCTCTCTCCTTTTCTCCCTTTCTGTCCTTTCTGTCTCTGTCTCTCCCTCTCCCTAGGCTAAAGTGGATAATGAGATCCTTAATTACAAAGACCTGGCAGCTCTTCCCAAGATTAAAGCCATCTACGAAGTGCAGCGTCCTGACCTCATTTCGTACGAGCCCTATCACAGATACACGTCGGATGAGACGCTGGAGAGATATAGCTATGGGGAGGTACTGAGCTGGGACGTGCCCAGAGCCAAACCCCCATTTGGGGACATGGCATGGGGCTTCACTCACTTCTCAGGGATACCAGTGGGCACACAGGAAAGGGGATTTCTCCCCAAGGCTTCCTTCCCATCAGCAGGTGCTGAAGTCACTGTCAAGAGTGAGGTGGCATGCAGCTGTCCCATAGCAGCTCATGGGCAGGAGGGCACAGAGGGACAGGATTTGAACAGATCCCACAGAGAGGGGGGGGGAGGTTGAGGTAGTCCTGGCAAGGGCTTTGTAATGTGCTGCAGCCACATCCCTCTCATCCCTAGTCCCAGGGCTTGTCACCCCCAGTCCATCCACCCCAACAGCTGTCATGAATCTGCGCTCACCGAGTGGGCTGTGGCATGGGAAACAGAGCTGCTGTGTGGCCACCACCGTTAACCATGTGCTGTCTCTCTCTATCTCTCCTCCCTGCCTCCCGCTGTCTCCAGTCCTTGGGGACCCTCTCCCCGTACTCACAGGTAATGGCACTGCAGACCTTCATCATCCTGCTGTTACTATGGGGCTGTGCTGAGCATCCCCTGCCCGGTGCCAACCCGAGGTTGGGGGACATAGGGACCCATCCCAGGGGACTGCTCCTGTCCAGCCCCAACTGGACACACATGCACTCAATAGCATCCTCGGCCCAGGATGCCTACCTCATCTCTCACCCTCAGCTCTAACCTTCCAAACCTCTCCTTGTCCCCAGGACATCTATGAGAGCTTTGACATCCGGCAGAGGCGAGCCTCCAGCCCTGGCTACATCGACTCCCCCACGTACAGCCGGCAGGGCATGTCCCCCACCATCCCAAGGTCCCCCCACCACTTCTACCGCTCAGGTGAGGATTTGGGCTGTGACTCCAAGGACCCCTCTGGTCTTGGCCAGGGACAGAGGAGGAGCGGTGGGTGCAGGTGGTGACCTGTGCTGCATGCAGCCTGTGGTTCTGCCACCCTCTGTGCAAGCCGCAAGGGAAGGCTGAGGGGGCTCAGAGCTGAGGATGAAGGTGGCCCCAAGGTCCAGCAAAATGTAGAAGAGAGCAGCCCACTCAGCTGGCGTGGTAGTTCTGGGGTTGTGCATGGAGCACTCATGCTGCAAGTGCTGCTCCGGATTGCAGAGCTCAGCTGGGGAGGAACACGCTGTGTCTGCCCGCTCTCCTGGCATCTGGAGCTCGATAGGAATGCACTGCACAACCTGAGGCAGTGTGTCCAGAGATGCTGCCTCCTCCACCATCCCTGCACTGCACCACTCAGCACTGCATCACGCACAGCTTTCCTCTCACCAATGGTGCTGCCAATGGAGCACTTCCGCATCTGTCTTCATCAGAAGATGCAGGGCATCTGCTCCATCATGGCCCATCCTGGACCACATCACCCTGTCACCTCACTACACAGGCCATCCCCTGCTCTTCTAACACCGCTGCCTTTAACACCTGTTTTCTTCTGCCTCTTGTTCTTTCTCTCGGTCACTTTTGGCTGCTTCTGCTCGGCACCGCGTAGGCACAGAGAGTGGGCGCAGCTCCCCCTACTATAGCCAGTTAGATGTGAGGTCTTCTACTCCAACCTCATACCAAGCACCCAAGCATTTCCACATTCCAGGTAGGCTCTGGAGCCCCTGGCCCAGGGGAAGCACCGTATGTGTCGCATGCCCGCATGTGCCATCCCCTGTGTGCTGCATGCGTAGCTCCACCGCCTGCCTAGAGCCAGCTGGCAGCAGGATCTACCCTGGTAGAGGCCATCCATAAGCAGGACCTGCAGCTTGAACCCTCCTCCTCCCTGTCACCACCCAAACGTCTCAGAGCCTTCCAGTGTCTGCTTGTCCCCTTGTCCCCATGCCCACCCTTCCTCTACCTGCACATCTCGAGGAGCCCCTGCAGAGAGCCATCCTCTGCCCTCTCCCCCAGGACCATGAGGCAATGCGTGTCAGCCAGGGGCCGTTCTGCTCTCCCCCTTAAAGATGATTATTTTATACTCCCCCTAGGGCCCGCCGCTCCCTCCCCCCAGGCTCTTCTGGGCTTGCCAGCTGCCTGCTGCCCTTCTGCAGGGATTGCAGGGGGCCACCAGGTAAGGGCCACCACCCACTCCCAGAGCCCACGGGGATGGGTCAGAGGGGGGGCAGTGGGCGGGAAGCAGGCAGAGCACCATCCATCCCCTGCCCCGCAACAGGCACTTCCCACCACTCTGTCCCACCATGGGACCCCCAGTGCCTGGAGACACCCTGCACCACAAGGACACCCTGACCACACTCCCACCCCATCCCCCCACCCAGCAGGTCGGTGCTTTATGGATGGCCCCCTCAACCCTCCGCCAGCTTGGCACCAGGCGCTGGCTCGCTTTCCCTCCCAGCTGGCTCTTCTCTCTCTCTGCTGTGGAAAGAGGCTTTGGCTGAGTTTGTTGTGCCCCAGGTAGCTCGCAGGTGGTTCTCGCAGGTGTTCTCCCCCATGGTGCCCAGCTGCAGGCTGGCAGGGCCGGTGGTGCATCTGTGCCCCCCGCGGTGCATGCTGACCGGGCGCTCGCTGCATGGCACTCATGCATTGCCACCTGCCCAGCTGCGGTGGAATCCAGCGCACTGGAGGCTGCTGCGGGGCAGCATCTCCTGCAGGACCACCGTCCTGCCCTGCTGCAAGCTCACACTGAGCTCCTCTCCATGCTTCTTTCCTCCTTTCTTCCCTTTCTCTATCCAGCTGCTGGTGAGAGCAACATCTACAGGAAACCTCCCATCTACAAGCGGCACGGTCAGTCTACAATCTGGGAGCCAGGCACGGTGGCTCTCGGTGTTGGTGATGGGTAGGGGCATGGTGGGACATGCAGGCAGGAATTAGGAAGCAGGGCTTTGCGGATGGTAATGCTGCTTCCCCTCTGAGCAGCACAGTGCAGGGCACAATGCAAGGAGCAGGGTGGAGGGGAGGGCTGCTAGCCATGCGGCATCCTTGGGAGGGGGAGTGAGGACACAGGGGGGTGGCAGAGGGGATGAGAATGACACCAGAAGTCAGAGCAGCCCATGTAAAGGGCTGCAGATGGCGATTTACAGTTACACACGGAGCCCTGCAGGAATAACATAGACCGTCCTGGATGGCTGCTGTGTGTTGAAATGCACCCAGGAGGCTGGGGAGGAGGAAGCCTGGGGTGGTTCATGGCTCTGCTGGGCTTGTACTCTCTCTGCTTGCTGACATGTGTAGCTGGGCTGCAGATGCCTGAAGTAGTAACTGTGTCTCCTCTCTCTCTGCGGGCTCCCTTTCCCACCTGCCCGCTGCCTTGCTGTCTGCCTGCACCTCTGCTGTAAGTAGCTGCTGTCGGTGAGGTACCCTGTGCTTGGGTGGTGGGCTCTGCCTGTACCTCCCTTCCCCTGCTGCCTCCAGGACAGTCATAGAGGGTGGCTGGAAGGAGCCAGGGGCTATGCATGTTCCCAGTGCCCATCCCTCTACAAGTGTCCTGGCCTTGGGACTGAACCCCTTCCCCAGCTGCTGGGGTCCCCCCCACTGCTCTCCATGGTGACCCGTTGGCTGCCCCAGAGGGACTGTGCCCTCCTCCATCTCTTCCTGTGTGAACCCTGCTGTGTGCCTGTGCAGCCATAGCCCTTGGAGAGGGGACAGCCTGGGGACATGGTGCTGCTGGCACTGAGGCTGCTGGAGTGCCAGACCCTGCACTGGAGACCATTGTCTGCCACTGCATCCTTGTTTGCAGGAGGTGTCAGTCATTTGAGAATGGGTTATTTCCAGCTCTGCTCTGAGCTCTCCCAAACACAATTTATTACAAAGTGCTGGGAAGAGAGGAGGGTTTGCTTTCATCCTGGTGTGGAACTTTCATAAATGTGATGTCCCTGTTACAGCTCTCCATTCTCCTTTTGCAGACAACGTCCCTGCAGCCACCAAAAGCAAAACCAGTGAGGACATTGCACAGACATCCAAGTACAGCCCTGCCTACTCCCCCGACCCCTACTACCACTCCGAGTCAGAGTACTGGTCCTTCCAGGGATCCCCCAAAGGTAACAGCCATCCGTGGCACTGCGGGAATGGAAAACCCACAGAGAGGGCATCACCCTGCATTGCACCTGGACCCAAAGATGGGGTTGAGCTGAGATACATACCAGAGTGATCCCCAAATCCCAGCAGTCCTTGGGATCTGTCTGTCCCCGTGCCTCTGGGGGCCGTCTCCTGTCTCTGCCCCAATCTGACCCCCACATGTCTCCTTGCAGCCCCCCGCGCCCGGCGGTTCTCATCAGGAGGTGAAGAGGATGGCTATGAGCGGGGCATGCACAAGGTAAGAGGTTTCCCTGTTTGAGCCTGGTGGGGTGGTCACAGAGAGTGGCAGCGAGTCAGGAAGGCACTAAGCGTGTCACCTGTTTGCCCAGAGGTGCCACGTGCCCTGGGATGCTTCCCAACCAGCACTGCCATCTCTCTGCCCAGATCCAGAGCGGCATTGGCAGGCTGATCCTGAGGGAGGAGATGAAGGCGCGCTCCAACTCCTATGCAGACCCCTGGACCCCACCCCGCAGCTCTGCTAGCAGCAGAGAAGCCCTGCACACAGCTGGCTATGAGAGCTCCCTCAACGGCTGTAAGCACAACTGTCTGCCCCTCTGTACCATGCAGGAAGGGGCTGGGAACAGGGAATGCACCCAGGAGACCCCTTTCTTTCTGAGGCTCTGTGCAGACCCCATGCTTTCATGGGGCTGGGACTGTGTGGGGATGCCTGGGGAGCTCTGGGGACCACGGGATGGGGGGGGGGATCTCTGCATGGTGCAGAGTGCTCAACCCTTTGACCCTGGCTGTGCTCCCCTTGCAGCCCCCCGGATGCACTACCTGGCTGACAGTGGTGAGTGTACCACCCCTCATCCTTGGGGCATGGTCCTACCCAGGCGTGGGGACCAGAGCCTGAGAGCTGAGCTCAGAGAGCCATGCTGGGATTCAGGAGGTGTGGGAAGAGGAAGGAGCCCTGTGCTGTGCCAGGGCAGAGCAGGAGGGAAGAAGATTTTGAAAGGGGCTATTGGGATGGAGGAGGGAGGGCTGCCATGGGAGAGAAACACACTGGAAGGAGTTGGAAAGGAGACAGAGCCAGGTGAGTTTGGAGCTGCACAGAAATGAAGAAATAAAGGAAATTCAAACAGACTGTGAGCAGCTGGGTTGGGGAGGCAGGAACACATCTGTGCCATGCATGGGAGCAGTGGCCGAGGAGATGTGTCAGAAAAGGGGAGGTATGGGCATGCAGCAGTGCTGCTGGGTGCATTGGGCTGGTCCTGCGGTCTCACTCATGCTCCATGGTGGTTTCCTTCCAGATCCCCTCATTTCCAAGTCAGCCTCTCTCCCTGCCTACAGGAGGAACGGGCTGCACAGGGTGAGTGCCTCCTGCTGCTCCCTTCTCTGCATCCCTGCTGCCATGCCTGGCTGTGCCAGTCCCAAATAACCCTCAGTGGGCACTGCCAGAAAGCTGTGCCTGCCCCACTGCAGGTCTCAATCCCCGTCCTGCAGCTCACATTGCTTTGCTTCACACCCTATAGCTTAGGAGACCTGGGCTTGTCACTTCCCTGTTGCTTGTGCTTCGGTTTCCTCACTGCCAGGCATGGGGGTGTCTTCCCCTTTTGGGGACATGAGAGATGCTGTGCTGGGAAGAAGACTGTCTGGAGGGGCCCCTTCTCACCCCTCCCTCTCTCCTTGAATCCCTCCCGCAGCCGCCCAGCGCAGAGCTTTTCCACTACGACAGCACCAACGCCGTCAACTGGGGGATGCGAGGTGAGGCTGTGGGGCTGGGCAGCAGGCAGGGTGGGGGGCCAGCGGGTGCCGTGGGGCTGCTGCCCCACTGCAGGCAGCTCCAGAAATGGGATCTAGACCAGAGGGACAAGGGCAGAGATGGGGGGGTCCCCGCAGCCCGGGAGGGGGCTGCTGGTGGGAGTGGCTCATGTCTCTTGTTTTTTTGTGTCCCACAGAGTACAAGGTAAGATGGCTCCCAGGCGTGACTGCCACCTGGAGGTGACACCCAGAGGAGGTCCCAGAGAGGTGCCCCTGTGTGCCCAGACCCTGTTAGGGAGAAGCTTTGCCCTCTCCCTGCCTTCTTCCCCCTCCACCCCCATCCCGACAGCCCATCCTGGGACTGTAGGGCTCCCAACAGAGCTTCAGCTTCCTGCCTGGGTCCCCAGCCCTGTGCTAGGCAGCAGTGTCTTCCTGGCACGAGGCAGAGGTGGGTGGCTGTGCTCGTGTTCCCAGCTCACATTCACCTCTGGGTCACTCCTGGCTTTGCAGAGTGAGTAGCAGAACTTTGATTCACCGTTTCAGAGCCACACAGGTGGATTAGGGTCACACCAAAAGCAAGCCACCTTCTACCCTGTCCCGCCAAAGCTCTGCTTGCTATTTAAGCCCCCCCAAAATGTGGCAGGGGGAGGCATTGTCCTGGTGCCCCATTGCTGGCTGTAGAGAGCTGCCATGGTGCTGCTGTCCCTGCGCAGATTTACCCCTATGAGCTGCTGCTGGTGAAGACAAGGGGAAGGAACCAGCTGCCCAAGGATGTGGACAGGACTCGGTTAGAGGTGAGGCATCTTCCAGTGGACACATCTCCTTGGGGCTTACCCTCCCTGGCCCACATGGGGCAGTGAGGGGGGCTCATGGGCACGCAAGGAGCATCTCCTGTGCGAGCAGAGCTGCAGGCTGCAGTCCCCTGTTGCACCCCTTTGGGGGGGGTCTCACTGCCAGACCCCCTCCAGCTGCGGCCCTGCACTGCCATCAGCCTGGGATGGTGGCCCTGGCCCAGCAGCTCCTCTCTCCGCAGCGGCACCTCTCCCAGGAGGAGTTCTACCAGATCTTTGGCATGACCATCGCCGAGTTCGACCGCCTGGCCCTCTGGAAGAGGAACGAGCTGAAGAAGCAGGCGCGGCTGTTTTAAAGGCATTATAAATATATACATACCTATAAATATATACATAGAAAGATCTCTATATTGCAGCTCTGTATGATTCTCAGTACTGTACGTGGCAGAGGCACCCTCTGCTCCCCTGAGAGTGAATTGGAGTCTCACGGATAATTCTGTGCTCTTTGTTTCTTTTTCTTCTCAAGCTTTGATTCTGCATCCATCTTTGGGGGCTTCTGGGGGCTGAAGGTGGCAGGGTGGGGGGGGTGCTGTCAGTGCTGACCCTCTGCAGCGGCCACAGCTCTGGAAGCCCTGTGCTGTGTGCTGAGGGTGGGAGTGGATGTGGTGACAGCACACCGGTAATTGCTGCTGTCAGCTTTAGTGCAGCAGTAATGAGCCAATTGGGTTTATAATGATTTCACCCATATAAACTACAGCTCCCTAAATCAAGCTCGGCTGTTTGGGGCTATGAAGAACTTCCAGCAGCAGTGCGAGAGATAAAGCCTGGAGAGGCCAGAGCTTCAGTTAATTCATAATAATAATGCCACAACAATGAGAAGCTTTTAATTTTCAAAACATTTTATGAACGTTAAGTAACTGTTCCTCACCACTCCCAGCATAGCAACGATGGGATAACTGGGCCAGAGTCCCGGCACACACCTCTGGGACAGCGGCCAGCCAGCAGCACCCCACGGGCTGCCATCGCTCAGGACGTGCTGAGTGACTGCCGTGACCCAGAGAACAGCGCGTGCCTCACAGCAGCTGCAGTGCCCACGGTGCTGCTTTGGCTGTGCCATAGGGATGGCTGTGCCCTGTGCCCACAGCCCGGGGCGACCCTCTGGTTTGAGAGGGAATTGGGGCTCTGTCCCAAGGACAGAGACGAATGGGAGCACATCTCTGCGGGGCTGTGCGCAGGGGGAGCAGGGCTGGGCTGCTCAGGGGACCAGAAGGGGCTGCAGGCTCTATGGTGCCCCGCACTACAGGCGCCAGTTCTCGTCGGGGCACAGCGACAGCGGCAACGCAGGGCCGAGGGACGCCAGGAGAGAGCGAGCACGGAGAGCCCCGGGAACGGCGAGGCGAAGCACGGAGCTCCGCACGCGGCTCCGGAGCCGCCGGCACCCGGCGGGGCGGGGCAGCATCCCTGCGGGCGCGGCTCAAGGCGGGGCCGTGCCGGTGCTGCCCCGCGCCGAGGGAGGGGCGTTGCGGGACGGCCGGCACCGCGCCGCCACTCGCCAGTCCGCTCCTCCCGGGGCGGCCGCCGCTGCCCGCGGTGCGGACCATGGACCGGCTGAGCGGTGAGGGCACGGCGCGGGCGGCGGCACCGGGCGCCGCGGGGGAAAGGGCCGGGGGTCGATGCGCGTCGTCACCTGAGGCTGGGACGCGGGCTGGCGTTGGTCGGGCGGGCGAAAGGGCAGCGCCTTGCGGGAGGCTGTGCGGGGGATGAGCGCTCGGTGCGCTCGTCGAGGAGGAGGAGGTCCCGGGATTGAGGAGAGGGAGTTTCCGCGCCGCGGCCGTGGCACCGAGCGCCCGGGGCTGTCGGGTTGGAGCCGGACCTGCCCCGATGCGGTGACTGCGCTGCGGGGAAGGAGCGGCGTGGTGCTGCCCGTCAGTGCCGAGCGCTGCCCCGGGGCTGTGCGGCAGCAGGTGGAGGCGTGGGGAAGCACGCACGGGTCCCGGCCTTGGTTGGTGCCGCAGCAGTACTAATGATGCCGGGGATGTGGCTCTGCAAGGCAAAGCCTCTGTGTGTGCTGCTCGGGGTCAGCGCCGGAGAGACCCGAGGGTCAGGAGTTCCCCCTCCCGATGGAAAAGGATGGGGTGGTGTTTCGGCAGTAGAAATGTGATGTGAGGAGCTCGAATCTGGGGATGCAGCACGCAGTGTTGTTGCTCAGTACATTGCCTGGCATCACAGGAGAGGACAGGAACAGGGACAGCCACCCCTTGCAATTCACCCAGCCCACCTGCCCCGCAGTGCTGGCTCTGAAGGAGGCTGCTGCTGCAGGAGTTGTCAAATACATGTGGTGCCAGGGCCCAGAGGACCTCATTGATGGGCAAAGGGGACAGCTGTGCAGGCTGCTGGGAGGATGTCCCTCCTGTGATGGATGTCTACCCCCACAAGATGAGCACTGAGGGCTCCCCACATCGTGGGGAGGTGATGGCATGCTGCTGAGCCCATACTGGCTTAGTAGAGATGAGCCCAGACGTGGCACAGGATGTGCATGGAGAGGTCCTTGTCCATGACTCCTGCATGGAGGCCCACTGCCCCAATGCCTGCCATGCCCCACTTTGCAAAGGTTTCCCCACTGAGGCAGAGCTGTGCTGCTTCTTTTACCCCCTCATAGGTGCCTTCTATGGTAGTGGTGGAAGTGCCTGCTGCTTAACTTTCTGTGTGTGTAATGAATGGCTGTTGGCACTCGGATTGCTTTTTGCTAATGTAAACCTTCTCCAGACTTTTCTGCTCATCACCAGAGCCATTGGATCCCTCTGAGGCTGTAGCTGTGCAGGGAGGGCATAGAGTTTTGGTGGATGAGGGGCCTCTGACTCAGTCTCCAGCCTCTCCATACTCTCTAGCAGCTACTCAGTGCTGTGCCAATGGAGAGCTATGGATGTGCCTGTGATTTGGGGATGCTCCACGCCATGAGCCTTGCTCCAGCTGGGCTGTGCTTGCTTCTCCTCATTAATAACTCTTCTCTGACCTTTTGTGCCACAAGAATTTCAATCTTGCACCATATCTGTGGTCTAAATCCAGTGAAGCCAGCAGAGATGTGTCAGGGATAAACTTGGCTCCAGCTCACCCACAAGAATGGGGAGGCATTGGGCTAGGAGGGAGGGAGCCAGGCTCATTCCTGACCTGCTGCCTGAGCCCCACATGCAGCCTGGTGAAGGGGCGAGGAGCTCTGAGGCCAGCTGTTAGCACCAGGCAAGTGCCGAGCTCTCCCCCGCATTGCAGCCATTCCTTCCGCTGGAAGCTGAGCTGCCTGGCGGCGGGGTCCTGTTTATAGCCCAGGGAATGGGGATGAGCTGTCCCTGGGCTGCCCCAGTGCAGGCAGGCAGCGTGTCATTGCCCCATGCAGCGGTGGGGCTGCTGGGCAGGGTGGGAAGCAGTGGGCTCATGCTGTGTTAGCACCTTCCAGGCAGTGAACCCAGGGATTCCTATCGCATGGGACTGCCTGGAAACCTGCCTCTTTCCAACGCTTGCTCTTGACCTGGAAGTGCTGTTTTCCGGTGGAAATGTGCTGAGCTGCATGCTGACGTGCCCCGTGCTACACAGCATACAGCAAAATGCTGCCTGCAGGAGGGCCGGCACTCCTCATCCCATCCCAGGAAAGCTTTGTATGAGGTTTTGAAGTTGTCTCATCCTGAACAGTTGGAGGGCTTTGTAGAGGAGAACAGGGAGTGAAAGCTGGGCTCGGCCCAGTGTTTGCCTGTTGTTCTGTGGCCAAGTTGCTTGCTGGGACACAAGATAAGGGTTTTGCAAAGTGGAGGCTTGAAGTGGTTTCTGACATCCCAGACTCACGTCCTAATCCTTTAACTCTTCCCTACACCAGTCCAGTCTGGCACAGCTAAAGGAACGAGTATTTCCTCCTGTGTGGAAGGAATCTTTTTCCCATGTAAATTAATGGCAAAACTGCCACTTCCACATAACCTGTATGGAATATCCCTCTCCCAGGGTAGGAAGCTTGGTCAGAAAATCCCTGAGGAGCTCTGCATTGTCCCTGCTTCACACAGCAGCCTCGGCATGAATAGTGCTGGGCCCTGCCACCCGCAGCCCGGACACTGCCATGGCCAACAAGACCCGGCTGTCATCACCCCTGGCTGCCAAAAGCAGTGGCATCATTCAGTGAGCTCCAGCCCCTCTGTGCTAATGATCTGCAGCCTCTGTGGCAGGGAAGGATGAACATCTCTGATTTGGAGGGCCCACCCTAGGGAACCTGCCTCAGGTTCTTCAGCCTCTTCGATTTTTGCTTCTGATAACACCTCTCATCAAAGGAGGGCTTTTGGCAGGCAGGGAAAACACTGGCATTTCGTAACAGTTTGGAATGAGCTTTGCTGGGAGGAGTTTCTATGTTCAAAATCTTTTTTTTTCTTTTTTCTTTTTTTTTTTTTTGAAGTGGGTTTTGCCTGCATGTGATCCTGGAAGTGATAGGAGCAAGGTCTGGGCGCCTCTGTGTGCTCTGATTGCTGGCAATTAGCAGGAGAGCTCCAGGGAGGTGTGTGAGGAGCAGCCTGAGCAGTGGCTGTGGTTTTCTCCGGGGTGCTTTTGAACGTTTGACCCAGCAGACTCGCCGATGGCAGAGCAGTCCATTTGTGTCTCACTGTCTGGCAGGTTCAGCCTCCATGTGACACAGTGCCAGTGTCATCTTATGCTTTTGGAAACTGAGGTTGTACGGGGCAGAGCCAGAAGTAGGAGATGTGTAGGAACAGGTTTGATAGCTGGCTTTTGTATGCCGAAGCTAAAAGCAGGTAGGGTGAACCAGTCCCGGCACCAATGGAGACATCAGCTCTTTCTGGGCGGTCACACCGTCCTGTGTGCTTGGACTTGGCTTTCCCACCATGCTGCACTGGCTGTCCCGGCTCCACTCCTGCCTTGAAGGGGTTAAGTGGGTAGGAAATGCTGCAGGCTGGTGGCCTTGCTGCTGCACCTGATGCTCGCCAATGGAAGGAAACGGAAGGGCTGTTCTCAGCTGAGCAAACACGCTTATCCTGCCCTTGAGGATGCTACGGCAGCACGGCTCCGGCCCCCAAAGTGCAGAGACCTTATGGGTTCCCCCACGGTGTCCATCCCACAGAGCTGGGCAGGGCTGGTTCTGTGGTGCTGACTTCATAGCAATTTTGCCCCTATGGGATTTTTCTACCTCTGCTGGTTTTCACTCCTTCCACCACCTCCAGAAGGAGGTGTCCCCATCATGCAGCATGGCTGGATACATTCAGAGAGGCAGAGCTAGCTCTGGCTGATTCCCCATCCATCCCATTCCTGCAGCTCCTGTGTCCCCCCACCCTGCCCACTTCTAGGGGAGAGTCCTGTGTCCTCTTGTACACAATGGCACCATGGCACTTTTCCTTTAAGAAGCACATCTGCTGTATGGAGCTTTGGGGAAGGGTGATGCCTAGGACACAGAAAGCTTCCATCCATCCGTAGGGCTGGGATGCCCATTCAGGAGGTGCCTGCTGTGTCCCCTGCATGCAGGGTGTGCACCAGGCAGTGCCTCAGCCACCCTGTGCTGCTCTGTCCCACTGCTGGGGCCACTCCTAGTGTGGGGGCACGGCAGCATCCTGCTGCTGCTGCAGGGCTGGTTTTGAAGAGGCCAATGCCAAAATTTTACTTGGAAATAGCAGAGTTTATTCTGGGTTCTGGCTAATCCTAACATCTCTCCTCAGCCTGAAGCTTGTTTTTATACATTGCTCAGCAGGTCTTGCCCCTGCCCAACTATTCCTTTAAAAGGGCATCTCAAACCTCTCTTTTCCTTTCATTACTTAAACACGTTCTCAGCCAGCAGCTCTTATCAACCCAGCCCCACTCCCTGCTCCCAAACTCCCTGCAGAGCATCACACCGATTGCTGAAATGTCACCCCCTGAGTGCAGCCCTGTGTGCTCACAGAGCTGTGTCCTTGGCACTGGGCTGTGCCTGAGCTCAGGGAATTCTCACCCAGAGGCTTCGCCGTGTCCCTGTACCTTTGTTTGCTCACCTTCTTGCTTCACTCAGCAGTAAAAGAAGGTGATACACAAAACTCTGGGGTCAGGGCAGATGCAGCCTCATCATTTCAGAAGGGAAAAGTTTGCTTTGGGTGAGCTAAAACAAACCTCCACAGTCTTCTCCAGGAGATGGAGAAATGTCAGCGCAGAGGGGGCAGCCCCTGGTAGCATCCCTAGCACGGGGCACCAAAGGGCTCCTTATCTGCTTCGGTCACAGGAGGTGGTTGGGGGTGATTCAATCATTCCCCTGTTAATTATTACCTCTGCAGCTCACGCTGATGGAGCCGTTCTGCTGTGGTTCAAGCGCTCTGGTGATCACATAGCAGGCAGGGCATGGACCTGGGGGGGCTGAGAGAGGGGGCTCAGGCAGAGCGTGTTTGGAGCATGATCTGAGCTCCCCTTGGGCCGGGCTCACGGCTCAGCTGCTGGCTTCTGGGGTCACTGAGAGCAGGGCTGCCAGATAAGGCTTTCAGCAGAGCTATTTATATCAGGGAGAGAGCTGCTGCTGGCACATAGCTGGACCAGGCACAGGGCCCTTCTCTCAAGCCATGCTGAAAACAGCAGTAGCAAACGTGTGCCGGTGGTCAGCACAGCCCTGAGTGCCTGGGGTGCACGTTTCAAAGGGTAAAGCATTCCCTGTCTGCTTTGTCTCCCTGGTGTTTCTCCCTTGGTCCCAGTGCTGGAGCAGGGCAGAGGGCAGTGAGCTGTGGGCTCCTTGCTGTAAGATGAGAATGCAGTGGTCACTCTGTCGGTGGGAACCTCCTGTCCCCTTGAGCAAGCATGTTGCACGTTCAGCTCCCAGCTCCCAGCCTTTCAAGGCTATCAGCCGAGGATACTAAATACTGCAGAGTTGTGTTGATGAACTCCCCAGAAGATCTGTGCCCCTGCCTCCTGGCCACACAGAGTGCTGCAGGTCCTGCAGGTTCCTGCTGCCTGCAGTGCAACAGGCACTCAGGAGGTGTGAGCCAACTGTGCTCAGTGCTGGGGGTGCTGCAACCCCTGAGCTGGGGTGCCCTAAGGTGGGGGTTAATGGCTGTGGGGGTGGTTGGAGAGGGGGTTTGGGGGCACAAAGGAGGAGCCCGAAGCACTGAGGCTCTGGCTGCTAGAGCTGGAAGTGGAGACACTGCCCCCACCCACCCCTCTCAAGGGGCCCTTGTTCACAAGGAGGAGATGATTCATGGACATCAAGCGGCCCCTGAGCAAATCTTCCACTGTTATGGGATGTTTCCAGAGCATGAATGTGATAATTAATGGCTTGCTTTTCTCTTAAACCCTCTGTGCTGCAGCATGCCAAGTTGCTGGGTACGCACTCAGGCAGTAGGGGACTTTCCAGGCTCTCCTTGCTGCCAGCCCAGTGCAGCTCACCCTGTGCCCGCCGGGGGCTGAGATGCTGCAGGGCCTCAGGCAGTATGGATGTGGAGGAACAATGGTGGGAGCGCCTGCCTGCTGCCCTGTGGGAATGCGGGAAACAGTCCTGTGGGAATGGGAACGACCCCCCAGCACTGGGCTGGGAGGCTTCAGCCTTCCTTCCCTCAGAGCTGCTCTGAGTGCTCAGTGCCGCTGCCCTCAGGTGCTGCAGTGGCCCCCTGCCCTCCTGCACCCCACCCTGTTTCTGGCATCCCAGGAGCTATAAACATCTGTTTACTGCCAGTGGCGACTCCAAGCAGGGCTCCTCCACAGGCAGAGCATCCTGGGGCCCTGCCCACGCCAACAGGAAGGATTTATTTTTGCTTGGTTTTTATTTTAGCTACAAACAATGGCCGTCACTCCCAGCATCCGATTTCCCCCGGCCCCCCTCGCCCCCAGCCTCCACCTGGTGTGGGAGGAAGCGGAGCCTGGAGGGGACAACGGAGCCACGGGCTGAGTTCCTGCAGCGATGTTGCAGTGCTGCTCCCTGGAACTGTTCCCCCTCCTCGGGGCTCCTTTGGGCTGTGGCTGCCAACCAGCTCTGCTTTGCAGCCACACGTGTGTGGTCTTATCTCTGCCTCTGTGACAGACAGTCCATGTACACGGAAACTGCTGCGTTAGCTTGGCCGGAGACTCTTCTTCCCCTTCTTTCTACTCCTTTTCCTCCTCCACTTCCCTGCAGGTTGCTGAAGCAAGAGCTGCTGCTTGCTCCTGTGACTGAGCAGAGGCTGAGGAGAGGGGACACGCTTTGCAGCTGCGCCCAGAGCGTTATCTCCAATCCAGAGGACACGGTTTCCCAAGAGGAATGTGTTCACAGGGTCTAAGAATAGAGCTGGCCTGGGCACGAGGTGGAGTTTGGTGTGGGGTGCTGCTGTGGAGAGAGGCGCCCTGCTTGATGCTGTTTGTGGGGTGTACGGGGATGCAGAGCAAGCACTGCCTGCTGACCTGAGCAGCAGCAGCAGCATCCTGGTGGTGTTGTGAGCATCATTCTTGTTGCTGGTGTCCAGACCTCCTGTCCCAGGAGTGCTGACCTGTGTCTTATCCAGCCCAGCTTAGCTCATGCTAAAGCCATCTGCCTCCATAGCTCCCAGCCCTCTCAGGCACAGGGACCTCTGACATCTTCCCATCCCTGCTGCAGTAGACGTGGAGAACAGCACATCTCCTTTACAAGGCTCCGTATCCTAGGATGCCTGCACCCAGCACAGAGAAGTGGTCTGATGGTGTTTGGGCTGCAGGAGAAACTCCAGCAGCACCCAGCAGATGGGACCCTGTGTTTGCACTGCTGCTTGGCAGCAGGGAACATGGGCTGGGCTCTCTGCGGCCGGTGCCCTACTCGCCCAAGGGTGGGCTGTGTGCTGGCACCAGATACCGAGCCCCTCTGTGCCATCCGTGCAGTGACCCATGGGCAGTCTCCCCTGGCTTCCTGCAGCCACCTCATTAACCTCCTGCGGGCTGGGAGCTGAACAAGTTCAGGAAATTAATTTCTTCTCTCCCTCCGCTCCCCCAGGCGCAGGCTCGGCTCTGTGCACCCGCTGCAGATCAAGGCCCCTTTGAGAGGTTCACCCCCCCACCCCCCTCGGCTCCGGGGGCAGCTGTAACAAGGGAGATGCAGGGGACAGCTCAGCTGGGGAGGAACAAAGGAGCCTTCAGTGCTCTGCTTTGAGTGCTCGTTGGCCAAGGCGCTGCCTGCTCTGTGGCCCTTTGGCCCTCAGTTGGTCTGGTGCCCTGACATGGGTCTGAGAGCTGTGATGGGAGATGTCCTGGGGGATGTACGTGGGCTGCAGTGTGCTGTGAGAAGGTGGCACAGAGCATGGTCCTTATCTGCTGAGCTGGGGCAGGGAGTGGGTAAGTGTCTCCCCAGGCGCTGGCGGGACGTCTTGCTTCTCTTCTCAGCTGCTTCCCCACTAGCCCAGCGCCCTGCCAAGCCTCGCAGCTGGATCCTGGCTGGCCAGAGCAGGATGTCTCACCTGGCAGTGTGTTTCCACCATTTCCATTCTGCATGCATCCTGGGAATGTCTGCCCCTCTCCCCTGCATCAGTGGAAAGGAAGAGCAGTGGGAGCTGAGCACCCACCCACCTGTGTGCTGTTTTTCCAGCTCCAAAGCTTAAGCAGCAGCCCTGGTCCCACTGTGCTGCCCTCTCCTTCTCCATGGGCTGGGAGATGCTGCCCATTCACTGGTGCTCACCGCCCTCCTTGGGGGTGGTGTGGAAGACGGGCACTGGCAGAGTCATTCTGAAGGGCTGTGCTGGTGTTTGGCTTGGCGCTGGGGAGGAGGAGGAAGCAGAAGGTCTGTGGAGATAGAAGACCATCAGCAGAGGCAGCAGGATGTGAGCTGCATCCTGCCTGCGCCCTGGGGAGCGGTGCTTTGGAGCTGGGCATGCTGTCCTCTTGCCTGGGGGGATTGCCTTGGCTGGGCACTGATCAGCATCAGCTGCCTCACGTTGGGCTCCCCTTTGGCTGGGGGATGTTTTGCTTACCCTGGGAAACATCCCCTCACCGCTGCCTGGCTCTGCACTGCCCTGCACCCATAAGGCAGACAGTCCTTCCTCTGAGCACCACTGCTGTGTCCCTGCAGAGAAGTGATGGTCCAGCAGTGCACCCAGTGGCTGTGTGCTCTGTCCATAAGGCATGCACTCTGCTTTCCAAACATCCCATCACTCAGCACGTCCCAGCTGCCACTGCGGTCCCCTCTGGCCTCTCCTCTGTCCCTGCAGACCCACAGCCAGCTGTGGGGCCACCCCAGCTGTGCTCTGATGATGTTCAGTTGCTGCCAAGATCTCACTCACACTTGCATTGAAAGAAACAGTTGTTTTTTTTTTTCCCCTCACTGTCGATAGCCTCCAGAGCCGCAGGTTTGTTGGCATTCTGAGCTGGGCCGTCTAGGTGCTGGATGCTACAGGTGCTACCCACATAACACAGGAGCTGGGTTTTGTCTCCAGCTCTGTTTTGCTCAGCAGAAATCAGGAGAGCAGCCTGAGAGCTGCATGCTGGAGCAGCTGAGGAGCCCATCCCCGCTCTGTTCTGGGGCTCTGGTTACCAGCGGGGCTCTGTTTCAGACCATGGGCTGAGCAGGGCTGGAGGTGCTCTGCAGGCAGCACGGGCACAGTGAGGGGTGCTCAGAGCCCTGTAGTACATCAGGGGCTGAGCAGAGCTGCTGCCCAGCACTGTGCCTGCAGCAGGGGTGCTGTGTGGCAATGCCTTCCCTTCCCTCCTCACCAGCGTGCCAAATACTGCCTGAAGGGATTAATTTTTTCTGTAAGCCTGCTCTGAAATTCAAGCACACGGAGTTGTGTTACACATGGGTGCAGCCTTGCAGCAGCACACAGCAGGTGTGCATCAGGTTTCCCATCCCAGAGAGCGAGCACAAGCAGCCGTGCTACACTGTAGGTGGGACAGAGGTGTAGTGTTATCTGCATGGAAATATTCACGTGCTGAGCCCTTTGATAGCAGTCCAGCAAGCTTGCAGAGCTCAAGTTTCCACCCACAGGCTGCATCCCAGCGTCTGTGTGCGGGTGTGTGCAGAAGGAGCACGTGTGCACTTGGCAAACAGCCGCGAGCCCAACCCAAGATCTCAGCCCCACGGGGGTCTTCCATGTGTCGCAGCCCTTTCTGCCTTCTCTGAATCTTTCTGCACATTTATTTCAGCACCTCTGGTGTTGCGCCTGTGCTTTTCATGCCTGGCTGTGATGTGGGGGAGAATGTCCTCAAGGCAAAGGTTGATTCAGTTCCTGAGCTTGTCACAATTTTGAGCTAAAAGTTGAATCAAAATGTGCAAGATTGGCTTGGAAAATACCCCATGCCTCCCATGTGCCGTTGTTGTCCCAGCCTCTTCTGCTGAGCCTCTGTTCTGTGTGCCCTTCCCTACATGCAGAGGGGCTGTGGGTGAAGCCCAGCATCCTGACATTGCTACGTTCATGGGCTTTTCTCTGCTTCCCCCAGTGCTGGACCAGCTCCTGCCAGAGCTCAGCATCCTGCTCAAGCTGCTGGACCATGAGTACCTGAGTGCCACAGCCCAGGAAAAGAAGGTGGCTGTGTCCTCCATCCTGCAGAAGCTGCAGCCACCCACAGGTCAGTGTTCCACTGCCATGGCACCCAGTGGCTGTCCCACTGGTACCGTGTCTCCAGCCTGCTCTGTGGCCATGAGTTGGCATATCTAGGGGGCAAGAGGTGCTGGTGCCTGGCCATGCTGTCCAGTCCAGGCTGAGCTTCTCTCCTCACTCCCAGGGAAGGACACAGACTTCATGTATGTGAACACGGCCTCCCTGAGCAATGGCACCAGCTTTGTGGAGTCTCTCTTCGAGGAGTTTGGTATGTGGGACCATCTCAGGATGGTGCTGGGGTCTCACTATCAGGTGCTGAGCTGGGCTCCCAGCTGGCCATGGGGGCTCTCAGGGGGGCAGGAGGGAGGCTGAAGCTGTGTCCTTGTGCCCGGGGAGGGCACTGTCATCCTGGGCTCCTGTTCCTGCTGCCCCATAGCCATGCCCATGAGTGCTTGGCCTGGAGCTCCCTGGGGACATGGATGCCCAACTCCAGGGTCCTGCTACTCCCTCACCCTCTTCGCTTCCTCCCAATCCAGACTGTGACCTGCGGGATCTCCGGGACATGCAGGAGGATGATGGAGATACTGGTGACAGCATCGGTGTGGAGCTCGCGAGGAGCCAGCCAGCAAAGAGCGTATGTCCCAATACTCTAAACTCTGCACCAGCACAGGGAGGTGGGACCTGCTCCCACCTCTCACACCAGAGTCCCTGCTGGCCCCTCGGGGATGCATGGCCTCTCATTTGCTGGTGTTTCTGCCACAGGTTCCTGCAGACCCCCCTCCGCCTCTACCCACCACCCCCCCACCTGAGGATTACTATGAGGAAGCGCTGCCCCTGGGCCCGGGCAAGGCCCCCGAGTACATCACCTCCCGCAGTGAGTCCTGCTCCTGGCCGCATCCCACCTGCCCCACAGCCAAACAGGCAGAGCCAGACCCTCCTGGTGAAGGAAGCCACCCGCACTGCACTGCACCCACTTATTTCCCGTCCCATCCCACCATGCTGCTTTGCACCAGGCTGTTTGCTCCTTGGTGGGGAGGGAGCAGTGAGCAGAGGTGACAGCCTTGGTGCCTGTGTGCGCTTGCAGCAGGTGGACATTGCTCTGCCTAACTGCAGGCTTACCCACAGCCCTGGCCATCCTCTGCTTCCCCTGCAGACAGCTCCAGCCCCCCCAACTCTATCATGGATGGCTACTATGAGGACGCAGACAGCAACTACCCCGTCACCAGGATGAACGGGGAGCAGAAGAACTCTTGTAGGTACCTGGGTGCCCTCACCAGGCAGGGAAGAGCTTCAAGGAAGTGGGCGTGAAACATGGGCTCAAGCAAAACTGAGTTGCTACGTGCTGAAGGTGCAATGCGGCTGTGCCTGGCTGCAGCGCAGGCAGGAGGGGAGGCACCGAGCTTTCCTGAGCTGCTCCTCTCTGCTGCACCAGGAGCCTTTAAAAGTGTGAGACTTGCAAAGAAACAAGCCAGCCCTGGGGCTTGGACAGGAATGCCTGGGACTGGGTTTTGGCCTGCAAGCATCATGAGTAATGTGGAGCGGAAATGGGGGACATAGGAGTAGTGGGGTCAAAGCAGCAATGCTTTCAGAGCAGGATGTGGAGCTGCTCCATCTGAGTGGGGTGACTTGCCTACTCCCTTCCAGACAACGACTCAGATGCCATGAGCAGCTCCTATGAATCTTATGATGAAGAGGAGGAGGAGGGGAAAGGTCAGCAGCTGACACACCAGTGGCCATCAGAAGAAGCCTCCATGAACCTGGTGAAGGACTGTAGGATTTGTGCTTTCCTGTTGCGCAAGAAGCGCTTCGGGCAGTGGGCCAAGCAGCTCACCATCATACGGGATGGCAAACTGCTGGTGAGCCCGGTGCTGGTGGGGCACCAGGGGTGGGAAGACACCTGCAGGTGGGCTAGGGGGAGGTCAGCAAACCCTGCTCCAAGACTGCAACCAACCAACAGCACATGCAGGGGTTGCTACTTCTTCCTTTGCATGCAAACAAAGGGCTCCTTGCTTTTGGGGTCCCTTGGCTACCGAAGGAAAGGGAGAGGGCATCCTGCAGCCCTGGTATTGTTGAGTCTCTGTATAGCAGAGACACAGCCACCTCCATCTGTGCCGTTGGCTGCAGGGTTGCTCATCCCTACCCACCATCCTGGGCATGGATGCATCCAGCAGCACCAGCTGAGCCCTGCTTCACTTTGCTTCTCCCAGTGCTACAAAAGCTCCAAGGACCGGCAGCCACATGTGGAAGTGCTACTGAGCACCTGCAATGTCATCTATATCCCCAAGGATGGGCGACGCAAGAAGCACGAGCTGCGCTTCTCACTGTCTGGCGCTGAGGCACTGGTGCTGGCTGTGCAGAGCAAGGAGCAGGCTGAAGAATGGCTGAAGGTAGACTGCTGCCTTCCCCTTGCTCACAGCCTCCTCTGGCTGCCCTGGGGAAGAAGAGAGGGAAGGGGGTTTTCCTCTGGCTCTTATCAGCCATGGGGACGGCTGGCTAGCTGCTTCCCAAGCTCTGGGCGGCTCCTGTGCCGATAGCCTGAGCCCCTCACCAGGGAGTGGAATGGGGATGTTTGCTCACCCCCTCCTCTTCCTCGTGGCCCTTTCCTGTCTTTGTTCTGGGTGTGGGAGGCAGAGAAGGGGCCATCTCTGCTGCGAGCCCTGGGCTGAGAAAGGGGCTGTGCTGCCTCTCCTGCAGGAACTGTGACATGGGAGACAGCGGGGTGTGTAGTGCTGGCAATGTGATTGTGCAGATCCCAGATCCCTCATGTCCAACCCTCTGACCATGCATCTCAACAGCAGTTGTTATTTGGAAGGGGCCTCAGGCAAGCAGGATTTGTGTCCCAAGCAGGGCTCATGGTGGGCAGTAGAGCTGGGTGCTGCAGAGACCACAGCGGCCAGCTGGGCTTGGGCTGTGCAATGGGAGCTTGGCAGTGTGGGGACGGTTGCCTTGGTCCCTAGCCCATTGTGAGGGGCTACTCAGAGGCCTTTCTCTGCAGGTGATAAAGGAAGCAAGCACTGCAGGAACGAGTGGGATGGAAGTCCCCATGTCCCCAGTGATGCCCTGCAAGATGGATCTGGATAAGGTGATGTTTTCTGGCTGTGGCTGAGAGGACAGGGACCGGCCCACGTGCCATGTGGGGCTGGTGACCTTCCATCCTCACAGCAGGTCTGCAGGGCCAATGGGCTCCCAGCGCAGAGTGCATGTCCCAGCCTTGTGCTGGAGGGACAAAAGCCCATGCGTGGTCATCGCTTGGGGCTGGGCAGAGGGATGCTGCTGAACCATTGCCTGCTCCACTGTTCTCCACAGAGGCTGTCACAGGAGAAGCACACCTCTGACTCAGACAGTGTGGCGACGGGTGAGACCTGCTCCCCCATGGCACGCAGAGAGCTCTGCGAGAATGGTATGGTGAGATGGGATGTCGTCCTGGCCCACTGAGCAGGGACACTGCGATGGGTGATGGGGGCTATCAGAGCTGTTCTCTTCCAGGGAAAGTCAAGAAGAGCGGCTTGGCTGACCTGAAGGGCTCAATGAGCCGGGCAGCAGGGAAGAAGATCACCAGGATCATCAGCTTCTCCAAGAAGAAGCCTTCCCCTGAGGATACGCAGACCTCCTCCACTGAGGAGGATATCCCATGCTGCGGTTCGTGGGGCTAGGGGCAGAAAGGTCCTGAGCTCCCTTATGAGGGGCTGTGGGAGCTCCCATTGAGCTGATGGAGAATTAGTAGGCATTCCTTGGGGCTCCAAAATGGTGCTGAGACTCTTCTGTTCCCAGGCTACCTGAGCGTCCTGGTCAACCAGTGCTGGAAGGAGCGTTGGTGCCGCCTCAAGGCCAACACCCTCTACTTCCACAAGGACCGCACCGACCTGCGCACCCACGTCAATGCCATCAACCTCCGGGGCTGTGAGGTGGTCCCAGGACTGGGTCCCAAACACCCCTTTGCATTCCGTATCCTGCGCAATGGGCAGGAGGTGGCCGCTCTAGAGGTGAGCAGGGCACACCACCTCCCTGGGCACGTTCCTGGGAGGATTGTCATGCTGGGGGAGCACCTTGGAATCATAGGGAGACCTCTAAGATCATCTAGTCCAATTGTCAATCCATCATTGCCATGCCTACTAAATGGCCAGCACGTCCACTAAAACATCATTCTTTGGATGGAGCCCAGTCTGGAGATGCTCAGCCCCATTCGAGTGCTACCAACGTTCCTCTGTCCCAAGTTCACCTTTACTTGCTGTTCCGGCTTTTATTAGGAGAAAATCAATCCTTTCAGAAGCCAGCACATGGTGCCTCGCTTTCCCCTCCTGTACACGCTGATGAAGCCCAGGGTGCCTTTATGGTGCAGGGATGTGCAGTGAGGAGGCCAAAAGGGCTGAAACAGGCAGCTTGCTTGGGGCTTGGGAATGCACGTGCTTTCTCTTTGATTCTCCTAAATCTTGCACACGTGCTTTGCATAGAGAGCCCTTCCCTGCAGTGAGGCTTTGTGTTTTGGGGTAGGAGTGAGGGTCACTTGAAGCCAGGCATGCTCTGCAGCCCCTTCTCTCTCCACAGGCAAGCTGCTCAGAAGACCTGGGCCGCTGGTTGGGCCTTCTCTTGGTGGAGACGGGCTCCCAGACCGCACCGGAGGCCTTGCACTATGACTACGTGGATGTGGAGACGATTGCTAACATTGTGACAGCCGTGAGGCACTCCTACCTGTAAGACTTTCCTCCTGCTGTGCTAAACCACGATGGGGTAGGATGGTGAGCCTCATCCTGGGCTCCTGGGCAGGGGCATGGGCTGTGATTGGGTTTTCTCAAGATCCCAGGAGATAGAAGGGACATCCCAGAGGCTGGCATTTCTTAAAGCAAAGCATCTTCCCTTGGGCAGGACTGAAATTAGAAGGTGCTTTTTGAGAAGTTGTGGATGCCCCATTCAAGGCCAGGTTGGATGGGGCGTTGGGCATTCTGATCTAGTGCCTGATTTAGTGGTTGGCAACCCTACTCGTGGCTGGCGACCTTACTTGTGGCAGGGGAGTTGGAATGAGATTATTTCTGAGGTCCTTTCCAACCCAAGACATTTTAAGATTCTACGACTGTATGATTCTTTAGTAATGCTGATGAAGAACCTAAGGGATATGTGTGCTTGGCTAGGGCAGTGTGAGCATTCAAAAGCTGTGTCCCTGCCCAGAGCTGGGAGATCAAAGTGCCCATTGTGGGGCTGGCAGGAATGTCCTGGAAAGGAGGCCGATGGCACAACCATCCCTCATCCCACAGGTGGGCCAGCAGCTCCCAGGACAGCCGGCCCGACTCCTCCCGCGTGGTGTATGATGATGTCCCCTACGAGAAGGTTCAGGTGAGTGTGACTCAGGGCCTCACCATGTCCCACCGCTGTGGAGGAGGTGTTCTGGGGAGCCTTGGTGGGCTGTGGCAATCCTACAGGTGTTTCAGCATGCTCTCCTGTCCCCACCACAGGCTGACGAGGAGTCGGGACGGCCAGCAGGAGCCCAGGTGAAGCGCCATGCCTCCTCCTGCAGCGAGAAGTCACGGCGAATTGACCCGCAGGTCAAAGTGAAGAGACATGCATCGAGTGAGTGGGGGTCTGCAGTGGGACCCTCAGGATGGGGGAAGCCTGCGGCCTCTGTGTAGAGGCTGATCCCACCAAGGTGACCTGGGTTGAGCTGTGCTAGCCCAGTGGGACCATGAGAGGTGTCCTTGCAGCTTGGGTTGGGCTCAGGTGGGGCTTGCTTAGGCTGGAGCCATTGTGATGGGCTCTCCTCGTGCATGCAGATGCCAACCAGTACAGGTATGGGAAGAACCGGGCTGAGGAGGATGCCAGGCGGTTTCTGACAGAGAAGGATAAGCTGGAGAAGGAGAAAGCAGCAATTCGCAGTGAGCTGGTGCTGCTGCGGAAAGAGAGGAGGGAGCTGCGGGAAGCCATGAAAGGCAGCTCAGGTAGGTTGCATACTGTGGCTGAGGATGCTCCAAGGCACCCGGGTATGGTGGGAAGGACCAGGATGCAATGCAGGGCTGGCAGCGTGGCCGTGGCACTTGTGTCTATAGTCAGGCTTGGCTGCAGCACACAGCTGGGCCAGCAGCCCCATCTAGTGTCCCTACCCAAGAGGATTGATGGCTGCCCAGCCCAGCAGCCTCAACCACTGAACGGAGCACTTGTGTGATCAGGAGTGAAGCTGCAGGACCTGGAGCAGCGTGTGGCTTTGCTGGAGGAGCAATGCCGGCAGAAGGAGGAGCGCCGCGTCGACCTGGAGCTCCAGCTGAGTGAAGTGAAGGAGCAGCTGAAGCAGTCGTTGGCAGGAGGGCCGGCCCTGGGACTGGCTGTGACCAGCAAGGCTGAGAATGGGGTACGCACCCCTTCTTCCTTGCTCCTCTGGCACCTGCAAAGGGGTTTGGGGTGGGGGCAAGCAGCATGTGGGGATGAGGGGGCACCCCTGATATTTGTCACTTTGTGGTTAGTGGTGGGAAGCAAAGCACTGACCTCAGCTTTGACTTCATGACAGTTTGTGCTTTCTTGGCACTTTCTGCTCCCTAAGATTTGTAAATCCTTATTCTCTTTTCCGCAGGAAGCTACAAACAAGCCAAATGGGAGCCCTCCTGAGCACTTGGTTCCCGTTAACAGTGCAGCTGAACTGAGAAAGAGAAGCCCCTCCATCCTTCCTGCCAACAAGGGCAATGTGCTGAGGAAGGCCAAGGTCCTGCTTCACTCCTCCTCTCCTCCCTGGCCCCCAAAGAAATCTCAGTTTTTCATCCTGTCCCCATATTTGACCAAGAATTTGGGGGATTGTGGATGATCCTTACTCCAAACACAAGGGATGCTGCCTGGGTTGCATGTGGGCTGTCCCCTTCAGTGGCAGAGGCTACTGACATGAGCCTAGCCTGCAGGAGATTTGAGGGTCCCAGGGCTGGGTGGGCAGTAGTGAAAGTATCACCTCTTCAGTGCCCAGGGCAGCACTCACCAGCCTTTGGAGATGCTGGGGTGGTGCAAATCCCCCAGGAGGGAAGGAGGCCCTCAAAGGGCTTGGTGCTCATTTCTCCAGCCTCTGATGTCTCCTCATACCCCTCTTTTTCTCCTTTTCTCTTGCAGGAATGGGAAAAGAAGCAGACTTAAACCAGGCAGTGGGAACACCTGCCAGGCCCCACTGGACACTGTGGCCTACTGAGGAGATACAAGGCCCCTTTCCCAGGCGTGGGGAGAAGTGTCGCCTCCCTTGCCCCTGTGCTACAGTGCCTGCCACATGGGCAATACTGTGAACTGTGGGGAAAGGGGCGGGAGGGGATTTACACAGAGCGAGGTGCTGGAGCAGGCTGCCCAGAGAAGCTGTGGATGCCCCATCTCTGGAGGCACTCAGGGCCAGGTGGGATGGGATCCTGGGCATCCTGATCTAGTGGTTGGCAAGCCTGCCCATGGCAGGGGGGTTGAAACAAGATATCTTTAAGGTCCCCTCCAACCTAATCCATTCTATGATGAGGAGGCAGATGGGGAAGAGGATTCCTTTGGCAATCAGGGTCACATACTACTGGGGAACCTGTCTCTGGGGGTCCTCCTGCATGGCCAGGAGCTTGGCACAAGGCATGTACCTGTGTGACACGGACAGCGTGTGGGACTGATGCAGCCATCGGATGCTCTGCTTCATCGAGATCCATGTTCTACCCCAGGGACACCAGAGGCCTGGCTAATGTTTTCCAAAGTGACTGGATTCTTTGGGGATTCGTGGCTGCCTGGACACTGGGGTTTATGAGCTCAGGACCTGATCCCTTGGACATGCCCATAATTCACCCTTCTCACTGCTCTCAGCTCCATGGGGTCTCATCTCAGGGTTCTTTGTGCCTCTGGCTCACTGTGTGTCAGCTGCATGTCCTCACTGAGTGCCTCCTCCTTGTCCTTCAGGCACACTTGCTTCCTTTGGGAACAAAGCTCAAGCATCAGCAAATTAACAGCAGGCATCTTCTGACCTTACTGAGCAGCACACTAGGCTTTAAGAGCTGAGGCTGGAGGCAGCCCGACTCCCCAACCCCGTGCTGCTTTCAGGGGAGCAGAAGGGCCTGGGACACAGTTTGCCAAAGCACGTCGTCAATGTGGAGCAAGGGGAAGTTTGAAAATAAAAAAATAAAAAGTGCTTTCAAGTGAGAGGACTGGAACAGAAAGGAGGAATGGGGGAAGGTAATTCAGCACAGGTAGAAACAGGGAGAGGAACGAAAAGGGAAGGCCCAGGCCGGTGTGCCAGGGACAACGGAGCACCCACGGCCGCTTTGTGCTCACTGCCGACAGTTACCCTCTGCAGCTTGGTGCCCTTTTAACTCGGTCAGCAGCTCGTAATAAAACCACTGGCACTGGCAAAGCCCTCCCCTGGCTGCAGGGAGCGGACTGGTGTCGTTCCTCTTGCTTGCAACGGAAGGCCAGCGTGAGGCCCCGCACACAGCGGCTGCGGGAGCAGCGGGACGGATCCTCGCGCAGCGCACCGCGGGCTCAGCACTGCGGGCTCGGAGCCTCGAGTTTCCTCCCGCTCGCCGAGGCGCAGCACCCGCGCTCGGGGCGCAGCGCAGCCCGGGGCACGGCGGCACCACCCGCGGGGGGCGGGGCGGGGCGGCGCGGGGCGCGCCGGGAGCTGTAGTCGCGGCGGGGCGGCAGGCGGCCCGGGGAGCATGGCCGGCCGCTCGCTGCGGGCCGCGGCTCGGCTGTCCGTCGGCGCGGCGCGGCAGGGCAGGTGCGTGGGCGCGGGGCCTCTGCGGCCGCGGGCGGGCGGGCGGGCGGGCGGCGGGGAGCGGAGCGGGACGGGACGTGGCGGCGGAGCGGGGCTGGGCTCGGCGCGGCGGGCCCGGGCCTGTCCCGTCCCGTCCTGCTGGGTGAGCCGGGCCGCCCCGCGAAGCCGCGCCGTGCCGTGCCGACCGGCCCTTCCTGCGGGGCGGCTCCCCGTGCCCGCTGCCGGGCCGCCGCCGTTCTGTGCGCGGGGAGCGAAGCGCCGTGTGCGTGACGCAGGATTCCGGTCGCTTAGCGCGGCTGTGCCGCGGTGCCCGGGTCGGGGACGGCCGTCGTGTCCCGTTGTGCCGGCAGGCGTGGTTGGGGTGCTGTGGGTCTGAGTTACAGAAGAGCAGTGAATTTCAATAAAAGGCAGGCAGCTGGAAAGGAAAGCGAACAAAATGGATGGTCCTTTATTCTGGTGTCGGTGCGGTTTTTTTGTGCGTTTTTTTTTTTTCCTCCGGAAAGAACTGGAAGCTGCACAAACTAATAAAGCCATGCCTTAATGGAAGCGCTGCCTAACCGTGCAGCCCTGCCGCCTCCCACTCGCCTTGTAGGTGTGACAGCTGCCGTGCACCTGCAGCACGCCTTCTGAATGCAGGCCTGTGCCCATCGAGAGAATTCTGATCTTTAAGGACAGCTGACTTTGGCTGCGTGGCTGCGGTCAGCATCTCCCCTCCATCTATCTGCATGCCCTCTGACACAGTCTGTAAATGTTTCTGAAGCGCCGGCATCGTGCTATGGTCCTTTCACACCCACTGGGACTTCCCCATATCTGTCACCTCAGGATGTGTCAGCTTCCTCCTGTGGGATTCCACCTATTTTTAGGGCAGCTGCGACTAGGACTGTGTTTAGGAGATAGAGGACAGGCTGTAAATAGCACTTGTCCTTTGTAGTGGTGCGTTTCTTTCATCCTCAAGGAAGAAGTAAATTGAGCGGCGTTTTCAGTTCTGCTTCACACTCCTCAAGTTTCCCTTTGGAGTCAGCCTGCAGTTCTTTTTTCTTGCCTCCAACTTCTGAGTCAGGCTTGTCTGAACAGCCCATGGCACCCGGGGCGTTGCTCTGCTCATTGGTGCTCTGCAGCTTGGTTTCACTGGCTGGAGACAGCGCTCCATGCCGGCAGCTCTCTGCTTCACGTAGGCAGGGCCCCCGAGTGCAGACACAGCTCGCTCATGGCCCTCTCCTACGCACTGGAACACACCCGTCTGTGTGCTGTGAATCACCTGCATATGGAATTGACTCAGTCAGCTTCACTTCTTGAATGCAAAAGAGTTAACTTGTTTATATTGTGTTGTTTTTTTTAAGCTGAAGGTATCTAACCTGTGAGGTGCTTAGCAAGGCTGCTGTCTTAGCTGAACTCAGCTTTCTTGACTCATCTGCAGCAGGGCTGACCTGCCGTTCTGCAGCTCTCCAAACGAAATACAAGAAGAAGAAGGACAGGGCTTGAGTTAGTGCTTACCACAGCCATGCTTCTCCCCACAAATAAAGCTTTCCGGTTATTAAAGGTTCATTCATGGATTATGAAGGCAAGGCAAATGCGTTACTTCTCTTCCCTCACTCCTGGCCAAATCCTCTTTCTGTAACTTTGTTAACCAGGCAGCAAAGCGGGTGGGACAGGCATCACTCGAGGTGGGGTGCTGTGCCCCAAACAGGTCTCTGTGCAGCCTCTGCTGGGTGTTGGGATCTCTCTTCTTTGGCATTGTGGGAACCCAGAATGGCAGCTGATTGGAAAGCACACCTTGACAAGCCCTTGCCTGGTTCCTTAATGATCTGTGCCAGGAATGTTCTACACCAGAGCAAACACACTGAGCAGAAACACTCAGGTCTGCATTTGGTGCATAATAGGAATAGGAGCTGCTTGGTGCACAGATCATGTTTTATTTTTATGTGCCCACCCATAAAAACTGTAGGTGCAGATATCTTCAGTTTGTCATTAGTGCTGTGGGAGTTCTAACAACCCTTCAATCAAGATAAAATGAGGGCACACCTCTGCTGCTAAGGGAGTGGTAGGAGGTGCTTGGTGGTCTTTGGGTAGGTATATCTCTTAAAGTGTGCTTTGGTCACACAGGTAAAGCAGTCTGAGGCACCCAAAGGGGACGCCTCTGCCCTTCCCCACATTGTCCTTCCCACATCTCTCCAGACCTTGCACAATGTCTTCTCTTTTGTACTGGCACTTGCGCTCATCTGATGGCCCAGCAAGGTTTTTTGAGCACACTGGACAGAAAGCACTCCTGTTGGGTTTGGTTTTGGCTGGTTTAACTCCATGAGTCTTCATTCTACAGAGAAGAGACTCCCTGGAGTGAGGGACGTGGACCCATCCTTACCCAGTCTTTTTTCTTTCACATATTTGTTAAAACATCTCTAATGCCTGCCTCCTTTTCAAGAACAGTTTGGGAAAATAATGTGGAAGTTTACTTTCTGCTACTGACCACCTGTAGTTGGAGGTTAGTAACAGTGCAACTGATAGATTATTCTTCTGTCAAAATCTGACTCTTTTCAAGATATGTCAGGGAGGTGGCATAGAGTGACATGAATCTAAAAAGATTTCTTCAAAATATTTGTCTTTTCTCTGTGCTAGCTGCCTGTTTCCTTTGAAAAGAGCTAAAATGTTGCCCAGAATCCTGTGTGCCTGCTTTTAGTAACGATGCTAAACTGAAATTCTTTCTTTTGACTGTGTTGGAACTTAACTTTCCCTTTCTTGTCACTAGTTTGTATTTCAGGGAGTCCCTGTGTGTTTTCAGCACTGCAGCTCAGCAGAGAAGTACAGGAGATGAGTGTGGGCCGGAAGATCCTCGTGATGAGCCCAAGCATCCCCTTTCTGACTGTGCCTTAGAGCACAAAGCCATCAAATTGGAAGAGCAAGTTCGAGACTTAACTGTGAGTTTGCAGCTGGTGGCGTTGCTGACTTTCATTTGGGCCCCTTGGCTTTCACTTTCAGCCTTATCTTGTTCTATAAGAGCCATAACCTGCACACAGTAGCACTGTGTTGTGACAGCATTCAGAGCAGCTTTGCCTTCCCTACAAACACCAGGTGTCAGTAGTTCCTGGGAGCAGGCCACTGACAGTTGGATCTCAGCAGGCAAAACTGTATGTCAGAGGTGGGCTGTGGTCACATTCTTTCACAGCACTGTACAGAGGGAATGTCAGCAGCTTTGTCACAGATTGTAACGTCCTGGGTCACTGTTGTCTGAGAAGTCGGCTTTGGTGGCTGGTGAGAGGAATAAATACTGCAGCACAGGGCAGTTCTGGGGATAACTGTCCAGAGTACAACTTCAGCAAGTGACAAATTAGCTTGTTACAGATCTGTTGCTAAGACCTGCCTGCTGGAGAAAGGAGCATCTCAACGTGCGCAGTGAGTCATGCAGAAAGCAGCAGCCTGACAATGTGCTGAGCACTCAGTGCTCCTGGCCTTGGGCCTTTTGAGGGGGTTGCAGTTGTGCTGATTAATCAGTAGAAGAGGGATTGGCTTTGCACGTTCTAATGAAAATGCTGGAGCCCAGTGCAAACCTCCTGGTGTGTAATGGCTTCTTTTTCAGTGGTATCTAAAGGATTGCAGTTGTGTCAGAAAAATCAGTTTTATGCCACTGTCTCCTTTTGCTGTTACAGGAACGATACAGGAAGGCTTTGGCAGATTCTGAGAATGTCCGGAGGAGAACGCAGAAGTTTGTGGAAGATGCCAAGCTCTTTGGTGAGCACAGTGACACAGAGCTGTGTGTGCTGCAGGAGCCTGCCTGAGCACAGAATGCTGATCGGCGGCTTTTCTCTCCCCTCTGTCCTGCTCTTGTTCATTGCAAAGTGTGGCATGATGTTTGGCCCGGTCTGCTGGTGTCTGGGTGTTACATCTGTGCCCAGCTGTGTTATTTCATGGGTTTATGGACTTTTCTAAATACAACAGGCCTGGTGCTGTTGAAGGTAGTTCTGCTCACTTCATGGAAACTGCAGGTTCTTCTGCATGCTGAGAAGTGACTCTCGCAGGATGTTGTTTTGTGGGTTTTCATCAAGCTGTGGTCTCCTTTATTATATTAACAGTCTCTTCTCCTCTGCTCTGGCTTTTAGGAGGTGCATCCTGTTTGGGACAAAGGGGGGTGGTTGCTATCAGATGGTCTTTAAAATTTCTCCAGTAAACATTTTAGTGTCAGTGGAGTGAGTTGCATTGCAGGCTGGGGACGGAGGCAGGTGCAGGGGGAAAACTGCTGTGTAGTCACTGCTCTCTGCCAGCTCCGAGAGTGAGAAACTGTTGTTTTCCATAGCACACGTAAAGCTTTTTTGTTAGTTAATTTTAATGGCTTTCAAATTAGAGCTACATCTGTTCCCATTGTGCTACAAAATGGCTGTTGAGTTCTGGGAAAATCAGCATTATTTGTGAGGTTTTTTTGTTTGTTTGCTTGTTTTGAGTTTTAGCTTCCTGTATGCAGTGTGCTTTAGATTTGGGGGGGGGAAATTTATTAAAAGTTACTCATGAAATAGGGCACAGGGCATCTGTAGAGCATTTAAAGTGGGAAGTAGACCCTGGTGTGAAAGGAGATGGGTTGGTGCATGGTCTGCTTTTTGTTGCCCCTCCTTCACGCTTTTATCATTCTGTACATGTTTAAACATGTATCT